TCACATGACTATATTTACGATAGCGCCTCTCTATGAAATCACACAGACTGAAGAGTCAGGGATTACTTTTACAATGGGCATTACGTATTACTCTATCAGTATATAAATATATATGTCAGAAAATGTGTAAAAATACTGTTATAACCTCAGAACATGTTCAACTACCAACACCTTGAATTTGGGAACTAGAATCAGTAATAAATTCTAACTGATAAGAAACACTGTAACATTAACATGTGAGTCACGTTACAATAAACGAGTTATCCAGTGTTTAATTTTGAAAACTGTCCTCTTTGAAGGCCCGCATTGTTATTCTGTACTCTGGAGGGGAGGGAGGTGGCTGTGGGGGTCTCAGTCCAAGCTGGATGTTTCCCCCTCTGCACACAGGCCACCCAGCAGTTGAGCTCTCAGAAACCAAAGGCAAACAGACACGCTGGCTTATCAGAATGTTAAAAATCCCAGCATGCTGAGCAAAGGCGCTGAGATCTAGCAGTTTTGAATCTGCTGTAGAAAGCATCATTATCAGCATTTATGGGGAGTGTTTACACTGAGGATCAGGTACTAGACACGGTTTATTCTGCTGTAAGTCAAGTGTTGTCATGAGAACAGTACATTAAAACAACATCAACGACAATGAAGAACTTACATATGAAGATTAAACACTTCCATTGATATGTTTTGCCTGGTCAGCATTAAAGGCCCACTGCTGACAGCCTTTTCATGGCTCTGTTTTCAATTACTGGCCAAAAAAGGTAAAGGAAAAAAGATTAAAGATAAAATCATGTTGTTTTTCATCTTGGGAAAACAACAAAAAAAAACCCTTTGTTTCACAAAACTGTGGCACCTTGATAAATAGAGAATGACAGGGCTTTCATGTAGCTGAAATGGGGATACCCTGAGCCTTGGCCTCTTTTTCATGCTGCATTGGAAGTGTTAAAACCAGAAAACTCTGATTTATCTGTCTTCCTTATTACAAATCTGTCTCAAGAGACGTTGGCCAAAGGAAATTAAAAGAAAGAAAGAAAGAAAAAGCTAGCGGAACAGAATCAAGATTTGGAATAGGGGCAGCAAGCATGAAAATCATCGCTCATTTCCCCCCGTGGCTCATGAAAAATGCATTTTTAGTATAATTTGATAGTTTGTATGCAGAGCTGTATAGATTTCTTTCAGATTGTTTGTGAAGTCATGTGGCCCAGGTTGCAGTTTGTTCACCATGCTTTTGCTGCGTTTTGCACATGCACAGCCAGCCAGTGTGGATTAGCTGAGTTCCAGGCTAAAATTGCATTTCCCTGAATAGAGATTTGACTCTTTGCTAGTCCTTAAACATTTACTGTGTGTTTCTCACTGGGTTGGTATGAGTCACTATAACTGGTGGCATTACTTGGAACCAGAAAATCATTTTGTATGTGTGAATTAGTTAGAGTTAGGCGCATCATTCTTGATACCCCACAACACAAATAGCGATCAGTCATATCAGCAGCCTTCTTTGCTTACCTGCTCGGTCAGAGGTGAAGCACTGAAATGATCAATTTGCTCGAGCTTGATACAGTACATGTGCTTATCTGTCTACTGAAGAATATTTCCTCTTACAAATATGAGCTGTTGTAAACAAGTGAAACCCCTTCGCTGACCTGTGGATTCATCGGAATAAAAATGGTCTTGTTATTTCCCTCTCAGGTAGGAGTTCATCTCTGGGCAAAAGCTTCAACTTGAGATTTGCAGTGCCGTTTCACAGCTAAGCCTGCTTGATGAAGCCCGAGGGGGCAGGCTCGCTCAAATTCTGGCTGCATCGAGATGTGAACGCAGTGGTTTGTTCTGTCATGCCCCCTCCATGATGGGAATTCAGCTATGAAGCTAAGACTCTTTGAGGCTCTGTTTGCACAGGACTAATATCACCTCGAGACATTCAGTGATTTGTAATGACTGCTGAGATCATCAGTGAATATGATCCTGTGTGAACCTGGCTCAGCTGGGACATAGCAAATCAAATTCTGAGAATTTCAGAGAGCTGTCGACTTTATGGTTGGGGATGGTGACAGGTTATATCTCATACCTTGTCTTTAATGGATTATGCAGTATGTTAATCAGGAGTTGTTTGCATTGTCAGACATATAATTGATTATGTTAACTCTCAGAGGCCTAAGTCCCCCTAACTTTAATATGTATATAGTGCTGTATAAAAAGTAGTATCTATCTATCTATCTATCTATCTATCTATCTATCTATCTATCTATCTATCTGTCTGTCTGTCTGTCTGTCTGTCTGTCTGTCTGTCTGCCTGTCTGCCTGTCTATATTAGCACAATGCAGAATTATAGTTACTTGTCGCAGATGGTCATTTTAATGTCTTGTCTGGTGGTAATATAGCTCAGTACTGTCAAGTTTGAATAATTATTCTATATCGGATATTACAACTGATCACACAACCTTGGTGATGATGGGTAAAAATCAATCACCTAATCCCGGACATAACTCTAAACTGGTATCTGTGATTCATATGGAAGTTTTTGAACTGCAAATATAGTTGGAAATCAGTCCGCTGAGGAGATCAGAGAGCAAAGCCCAGTCTTTTACATTAATGTGTAGTAGAGCTGGACGATATGAGATTTTTTCATATCACGATATGTTTTTTTCATTTCAGGCGATAACGATATTATCACGATATAAGCCAAATAACTATATTTGTAAGATTTAAATGTGCCGTTGCTCACAAGTAAAATGTGAAATAATCAGCAGCTTGTTTTTAAATATTTATTTCCCATAATAAGTTCAACAGGGTAGATGTACTTAAGGAACATGAGACTTTTTCAGATAAATAAAGGCAAATATTGCAAACTACACAAAAGGCAGCTGCTAAAGCGTTTAAGTTTCAAAATAGAACAAACGAAAACAGACTAAATTGTCAATTCCACTTAGAAACAAAATATTAATTCTAAAAATAAATCTTAGTTTGTTTTACAGAAGAACAGACAAAACTGACTAACTTTTGTCAATATCAAATAAACTGAGAACTAAAAGGAAATTCTCAATCTCTCCTTGTTGTATAGCTTAGCTTTTCAAACAGTTTTAACAGTTACTTTAGTCTGACAAAAGCCGAATGACGAATTAGCGCTTCCAGTCAGAGACTGAGGCTACGTCCACACGTACACGGGTATTTTTGAAAACGGAGATTTTCCGTTTTCGTTTTAAAAAATAATCCCGTCCACACATAAAGGCAGAAATGAAGGAAAACGCTGCTATGAACATGCCAAAGCAGCAGGTGGCGCTAGATTCCTAACCGTGCAGAAATAGTTGGCCAATCAGAAGTCTAGAAGCCTCGGTGGGAAAAAGTAAACAAAGCTGGGGCATAGAAGCAGAACCGAGTCGTATGTGTGGAGCGGACAGTAACTGTGTGTATATGTAAGCATTTAAACACTGCAGAGAGTAGAATTAACAGTAACAGTATTGTAGAAATTCATTTCACCGAAACAATAACGTGGCGCACAGTGTGACGCATGCACCAGTTTATTGTATTTCCAGACTTGCTTTCGGCACAATTTACAGTGCACGCTACTCTGTTTTTTGTCAGACTTGAAATAGCCGAAATACCTTCACACTACGGAACTTCTATGGCTCTTCCGTTCGACAATCTCTCCGGCGTTGGAACCATCATCTGTTTTCTCTTCGGTCACGCTCGGTTGATTTTTCTAGTCGGCACACTCATTTCCTCCATTACGCTCCATTACCCGCTGGCTGCTTCCCAAACAAACACACGTGCGGCTTGGCACTTGTGCTGTACGTAACAAGTCACGCGACGTGACGCTGCGGCTGTGATTGGTTCGGCTCTGCGCTACTTAATTTGGATTGGCTGACTTTTTTTTTTTTTTTTTTTTTTAAGAGGACAAGAGCGGCGAGGTCTATCGCGATAGCTTAATTTCTCTATCGAGTAAAAGTTATATCGCGATACATATCGTTATCGTTCTATCGCCGAGCTCTAATGTGTAGCTACCTTTGTTTTCCAGTCTTGGATATTAGATATCATATATCTAGTACTGCCTTGAAATACAATTTTATAGGCTTTGGAGCTTCAATAGTAATCTGCAAGTGAGGAAGGACGAAGAGGAGGGGAAGGGTGTTTCTATATAAAATGATCATTCAGAGAAAAAAGTTAGAAGCAGCAGAAAACATTTCACTTTTTCTTCTCCCACTGTCCACTCTGTCACACTCTGAAGCTTTACTGTTTGCTCACACAGCAGAGATGTATAGAGAGAGAGTGAGAGAGCTCTTCCAATCCAATGACAAAGACTGAAAAGATTATGAAAAAGGGCTGATTTTTGTAGCCAAGTGAGCAAAGATGCAGTATACTTATACTGTTCACAAAACATACTTATTACAAACTAGTCTGTGCATTCAAAGCAAAGGTAGGAAACATTGCATGCGTGGGATTTGTGTGAGACATCTCAGGTGCAATTATCACTACCCCTCCCAAACCTAAAAATCTCTGGTTTAATCTCAATTAGTTCTGAAGGAAATGGATTATAAATTGTTTATTGTTACATTTTCTTACATCATCTGCTTGCATGTGCAAAGCACAGGCACAAACAGATAGGCACAAGCTGTACTTGCATTTATATAACACTTTTCTAATCTTACTGATGAGTCAGTCTCCATCCAGTCACCTGTTTTAGTTTGTTTGAAAGAGTTAAACATTATTAACTGTCAGCTGTTTAGATTACTCGTTATTTTTAAAGCCACATATTTGCTATCTATTTAAATGTGATGTGATAACAATATGGTCTGTTCTCTGTTTTTACTGCTGGTTGGACAAAATAAAACACCTGAAGCACTGCAGCTGTTGCCCTGGGCAGCAGAGCATTATTAAGACCTTTCTGAGCGTTTCCTGACATTCTGTACAGGAAATGCATTCATTAGTTTATGAAGAAAATAACCTGCAGATCGCCAGACTTCTACACTTCACACTGTGTTTTTGATTCAGTGTTTTTTTCGCTTCCTTCCGCACAGCATGTGGTCGGGGTTTCTACAAGTCTTCCTCGCAGGACCTTCAGTGCTCTCGCTGTCCGGTGCATAGCTTCAATGACCGCGAAGGCTCCTGGCGCTGTGACTGTGAGGACGGCTACTACCGAGCACTCTCTGACCCTCCGTCTGTGGCGTGCACAAGTAAGTCTGCCATGCTGCTGTATAAACGCAGCGCAGATCACATGCATTTAAACAGCTACTAATGCAAGTGGAAAAACAACACACTCCAGAGCCTGATTTAGTCCTGTTCAGTCAGCCTGCAGTGGCCTCATGAAAGCCCCAGATGTGTTCCATAGCAGTTCCTCTGCAAATTATGTTTGCAAGCTTGCGTGTCTGTTTTGTGTCTTAGCTGGTTGCTAATGATGACAGGAGCAATTTGCCATTTCCCGTCTGAAAGATTGCAATTACGGTCGGCAGTGGCAGCCCATGCAGCAACCTGCATCTTCATTTGTCCTGGCCAGTGTAACAGCTCTGTGACAGCCATCGATGGCTTATTTACACAGGCTGGGGGATGCAGTTTGAATGGGTGGGGCTCATTTGCTTCCAGAGCTGTTCTCAAACATGTTTTTTTTCAAAGTGCTACTGGATGTGTATTTATTTTCTTATTTTTTCTCCTTTGCTTTGAGCTACTGTGCATGGGAGAAGGCCATGTTAGCACTGTGCTTTATCTCTGGAGGTAAACTGGATCCCTAAACATAATCTGTGCACCTTATCTGTGTGCCTTCTTTCTGCTGATAATGTATCACTGCACAGGTTCACAGTCTTCTGGCTGTTAGATTTACACTTGTGCTGTTCTTCCTTTGCTGTTTCTATTAAGGAGACCTGATAAGTTAACATTTTAAAATGCTTTGTGCATGTGTTGGACAATTTGCATGCCCAGTCAACATCCTGAACAGCATTGCATTTTTGCTGCGCACCTAAAGTAGGCCAAGTCAGAATATCTAATATCTAAGTGTGTGTGTGTGTCTGTGTGTGTGTGTGTGAGAGAGAGAGAGAGAGAGAGAGAGAGAGAGAGAGAGAGAGAGAGAGATAGTTATTATGCAAATACAAAGAATTTTATACCATTGCATTGGCTTCTCTACGCATTAAATCAGAGAATCAAAACAGGGATTTAAGGGATTGGAGTTAAGATTTAATGTTGCAAATTCCATATGACAAAAGGATTCTTTGTTATTTATGGGCGTCTTTAAAAGCTCAGGCTCATTGAGCAGAGCCTCTGTCTCTGCCTGCCGCGAAAGCCTTTCCATCTATTTCAACATACAGTACTGTATTTACATTGCCAAGAGGGTGTGTCTGAGTATGCAGTCCATATAGTAATATAGTGGTAATTAAGTGCACTTTCAAAAGCTAGAATACTCAAAAAAACCATATGTTAGATATTACTGGCTACAGCTGCTGCATACCACTCTTACTCTTGCACACTAAATTGGTGTGACACAAGCTACAACATCAACAACAAATGATACTGAGTCATTGATAAAAGTATTTGACGCACTTAAATTATAAATGGCTGCTTTTAAAGTTGCTGGTTTTATTAGTATGTGGCTCATGTCATTTCCAAGGATGATTTACTGCAATTGCCTCAGGACCCCAGAACTCCTAGAGACCCCCCATAAATCCCCGCTCTCAGTGTCTTGGATGTCAAACAATGAATAGCAAATTTGTTTTTGAGTACACACATCCAAATCCAACGACGGGGGTGGTGGGAACATGAGGTTAATAAGAGCCACAAGCAAATTTTTCCCTTATTCCCGTGTAAAAATGGGAATTGTCATTTCCTATTTGTTCAAAAAGGGAAATAACAATCACAGCTTGATTCTCAAAAAGAATTGGATACAAGAGGCTAACTGCTACAGAATATGAGGCAAAATGCACCTAAAATCTGCTGCTGACCTACCTACCTGCTGTCAAGTAAAATGTAAGGTTAAGACTGCACAATATTAACCTAATAATGGCCAAATCTGAAGTATGGTGTTGGTGGAGCTTGAGAACTAAACTAGGCATGTCACTGTAAATGCACTGTAAAGACAAGGACTTAACTCCAGACCACAAACCACCAATCTTTCCATGTAGCACGGAGGCAACCATATAGATCTTGTTCTAAAAGACAGGTCCATTACTCTATTCTCCAACCATCCTAATCGGACGTTAATGTTTCACTCTAACATCCCCGACTGAACCGATCGAGAGCAGGACACACAGAACAGGGGAAAGTTCCTACTTTTTTTGAGTGTCCTCTAGCTGTTCCCATTTGGGCAATCACCTTGGCCAAGTACCGAAGTAATTACTGAAGTTGCCTATTGCACACTTTCCATTATTCATTTTCATTAACTTTGGGTCTACACTTAGTGACCCCATACCATTATATGTAAATATGTATTTTTGACTTCCTCCTCCTCATTTACGCAGCACAATTTTTTTACAGCTTTGTACGTGCATTTCCTCATTCATTGTTGGATTAAGTCACTGTGACCAATAGTCACTATGATTTTCTTTTTTCAAGCCTTATCCAGACCACGAGTGAATAGTAATTGAAAATGAATTTGCACTGCCTGAATAAATAGCTTGATTGACAGATTTTTTTTTTTATAATAAGAGTTTGCTTATAATAAGCTATCGTATTGTAGGCCTTGGTAAAACAGTGAGATGGATCTCTGGCACACAGAGATTAAGGATGTGTCTATGAGGATTTGAGAGGAAATGAGATAAAGATGTAATATGGGGACATGAAAAGCCAAATCCATGTTGAATAAAGATGAGGGAACAAGTTCCAAAAACACAGCTTCAAAAACACTGTTTCCCATGTGGTATTTGCTAAGAGGGGGGTGGTATAAAGACATGCTTTTGTTTGTTGAATATTTGTCCACGCTATTCATATGCAAATAAACATATACGTGTGTATATATATATATATATATTATAATATTTAGATTATATGTATATGTGTGCGTGTGTGTGTGTGTGTGTGTGTGTGTGTGTGTGTGCGTGGAAGACCATCAGGAGCCTTTTTCTCCAGAGGCATAGCACACAGTGGAGTTGTTGACAGGTCAGAGTACTGGGCATCAATCATGCAACAGCTGTGAGCGGTGCTGGTGCAAGCAGGGACTGAAAGGAGCATTTGTGACTCGTTTCCTTCTCCCACCCTTACCCCCCACCCACTCCTCTTAAATGTGACACCTCAACAAGTTGATTCCATCTGAGGATCCATTCTAAATAGAGTTGCTAGGGGACAGAGAAAGAGCTGTTACCTGATATAGACCTGGCATAAAGGCATTTAGTGGCATGGGGCTTTGGTAAAATGCCCTTCATTGTCATGTGTGCAATTTTGTCATTACTCAAAGAACAAAAGGTGAGAGATAATGAACTACACTTTTCATTTAATGCCGAGAGGATGATTTAAAAAAAAAATGTGTAGGATTGGAGTTGGATCTACTTCACTGAAGCGATAACTCAGACTGAGACACACGTCTAAATTCCGTGCCATTATTCACTTTTCTCATCCTGGCCCTGCACATGTAAATTCAATGTAAATATCTGTATGTGTTTGGGTCCATGCTGTAATTAGAGGAGGCTATGTAAATACAGCCTGTTTCCTTAAAACAATATTCTCAAACGCTACCACGTGTAAGGACATCTAAGAGAAAGGTTTGTCACCATTGTAGTCTCACAAAACGTTCAAGCTTTTTAGCAACTGAACAGTGAAATCCACGAGTCCTGCATTTGTACATCTGAGACACACCAAAACATAAATTGTTATAACGTAGACTTAGTCATTTGTCATTCATGTTGACATGCCATCATACACTCTCCAGATACTTGAGCCAAAAAGGAGCAAATCCAATATTGAATTCTTGGCAGTGGAAGTCGGAGGCCCCAAAAAACCCTCTTCTCTTTTCCTCTTTAGCATGTCTTCCCTCAAACAGGTTCTACTGCAGCCGCATCATTAGATGGAAGGTCAGAAGGTCATAGCGCACATTTGTAGAGTGACGAATACCTCATGGGTGATTTGAATACCACTCACCCCTGCCGTTCCTCTCTCCTCAGCTCCCCAATTAGAGCACAGCCAGGTAATAGGCTGTGCTATTAGCTGTTGAGGGTTAAGTTAGCCCAGAGCACCTCTCAAGGCTGATAAGCGGAAGATTCTTCTCTCCTAAGCCCAGATTTACTTGGGTCTTACAACTCTCTCCGAGTGGAGATGAAACATGACCTAAATTCATCTAATACTATCCTGTGCTTTCTATATGGTAGTTTAATAGCTGTTGTAGACGCATTTTCACAACCGAAGCCTTTTTCCTCTTACAGCTTTTTAGAGTGAGCGGCTTTTGTTTATCCTATAAAATGTCAACTTCTGCTTTAAAATCTGTGCCATGTTGACATGCAAATGTTGTAGGAGGAAATGCAAAGTGTGCTTGTACATATTTATGTAGAACCCCCCCTCCCCACCCTCCCAAAAAAGAAAAAAAAGAACCGCAACAGAACAAGACACATGCATGCACTTACACAAACACTCTCACCGCTGCTTGGTCAGAGTTGGAGGGCAGCTAGCAAGTGATTGAGACATTTCAGGCTGTGGGGGCTGTGGCAGGCTAATCCGTGAAATGAAACTTGACTGGGAGGAGGGGTGAGAGGAGAGAACATGAAAAGATAAGACAGAGTGGGGGAGTGAGAGACAGAAAAAAAGAGTAAAAAGAAGAGGGAGAGTGACAAACCCCTGAGCTGTAAGGATGAGCAGACAGGCTGACACTGGTGGGCTCTGTGCTGCAGGTGAAGCTGAGGCCAGAAGAGTTTGGTATTTCTGAGTGCAGACAGAGTACACTCAGAGAAACAAAGAGACGGCAGGGCAGATGAAGTAGAGCTGTTTCCAGGCCAGCCAAAGGAAGTTATCACTGGGTCACCCCATAGAAGGCATGCTTGGTTCCGTAGCTCCGCACAGGCTGGCTGTTACAAAAGATTTACAGAATGTAGCCATTGAAGGGACAGTTTTAGTCACTGCTACTCGATTTGAAATATAGCAAGGTGTTTATAAGGGAAAGACAAAGCTCTTAGTGTAGTGTGCATCTGAACAAGACGACAAAACAGAAAGGTCACACACATCCAGGGCGAGTCTGATCTAATTTCCTTTTGCTTGTTGTTGCTGAAAAAATCATCACTTGCACCTGAGACCTGAAAGAGAGTGGCACGAGCAAAATGAGATGTTATCATGGTAGAATAAAAGATCCCTGAGGACTGGTCTGGAGGAAGGTTGGGGAAGTGTGTTTGCATGCACATGTGAGGGGGTGTGCGTGCGTGAGTCACACCCCCTCCTTTTGTGCACAAGGAAGATTGAGAGTGTGGGTCGAGTGTCAGCGCCAAGGCTGAAGTCGAGTGGCACTATTGGCAGTCACTCCTCCCCACTTCACCTGCCACAGGTGGCTCTTTCATCTTCCCAGCCCATAGCCTGGTTCTTATCTCGCCTGGTAATCATGAATATAGACGTCTCAGTCGAGCTGTTGATTCTAATGGGTAGAAAAAAGAAAAACAACCCAGTGCCGATTTAATAAGCTTGAATCTTGTGATGGTCCATAGGTTTTGCACTGAACGTATCCATTTTGTTAGGTAATGTCACAAATTGAATGAATTGAAGCGTCACCTAAGAAAACAGCACAGAATGAAGATGTTCACTAAAACATTCATAAACAAAGAATACAAGTTATATCATCTTTACTATGTCAGGGGGGATTTATTTATGTCAGCACCTGGGCCATAAAACCCAATAGTCTGGAATGTGAGAGGATGAAAGCAGCCGTTTGTTATTCATTGTTTTACAAGATGAGCTAATCTTTTCGCTTGTTATGTTAATATTTATGGGGAAATGGTCTGTGAGTGCTGCAGAGGTAGTCGTTATTCTAGTATATCAATTTGAATTGTATGCGACAGTTACAGGGTGGTAATAATCCAGGTTTAAATCTCGTTAATAAACGTTGTGGGTGAGTCAGGCTTCTTGAAAGCCACTACGTTTTATTGTGCTGCTGTCTATGTGATATAGTTTTTCAAAGGAAACCCTGGAAAGCCACTGTCTGCGGCTGGGATATTGGCTCCACAGCTTCTGATTTGCTGCTGAGTCTGAGGAGTAAACCATGCATCAATCATCAATCATGTCAGCAGCAGGTGTATGCTGTCACCAACAATCATTGTGTAATCAAAGCATTAACAGGGACAAATCACCAGCTATGAATGTGTGTTTTACAGCTAATACAGCTAATGCAGCTATACGACTTTAGGTTGATTCAAATTTAAAATAGGACAATTTGTTCATTGTGAACACATTGGCAACATCAGAATGTTTGTAGCTTTTAACAATGGAAAGTGGTGAATAACTTGATTAATTATAATCAGACTTACTAGCAGTTATTTAAACAGAACTGGTTAAAGCGCAGTCACAAAATCTTTGGCACTTAAAATGCATATTCTCCTGAATATTCTGAGATAAAAAACTGATAGTTTGAACTTCTGATATTGCCATTTTTATTTGATTGGTGGAGAACACAAAAGGAAGAGGAGACTTGAAACCCCCTCACAATCCCACAAAATAAACAACAAGCAAACAAACCCAAGAAAAACCCAGTGCTGTAATATATCCTGATCTATTTGGATTGATCAGGATTGGACTTGCCACTTCACAGAGTCAACAATGCTAATGAAATAATGAAATAAAAGTGAAGTAGGTGTGCGCTGCTGCCTGTGTAGTAAGGAAAAAAGGAAGACATAGAAATCTGTCAAACGATCGTCTGCTGCTTGGATTCTCACTGACCTGACCTTCACTTCCTTTCATTATACCTGAATGACTTTTTCTAGATCTGAGTCTTATTATAATTGAGTGTCAGTGTTTGGATCTGGGGCTTGAGCTGGCCGTCCTCTATTAGCTATTTTTTCAGAGAACAATTAAAGTACATATCCAGCGAGTACAAATGCTTGACTGTCACTTTCCTTGGCACTCACTTGCTTTCTTGGCGTCCACCTCTGACAGGACCTCCCTCTGCACCACAGAACCTGGTCTACAACATCAACCAGACCACAGTTAGCCTGGAGTGGAGCCCACCGGCTGACACCGGCGGTCGCAACGACGTCACCTACAGGGTTATATGTCGCCGCTGCAGCTGGGAACCCGAGGAGTGTGTTCCGTGTGGGCTAAATGTGGGATACTCTCCCGCACAGTCAGGATTAGTGGACACTTACGTGACCGCTGTGGATCTGCTCGCTCACGCCAACTACACTTTTGAGGTGGAGGCTGTCAACGGGGTGTCTGACCTCAGCCGCACGCAGAGGCTGTTTGCTGCAGTTAGCATTGCTACTGGCCAAGCAGGTAAAGAATTTTATTATTTATTTTTAATAATGCTGCCTTGCATTTTAACAACTTTGAACTGTGAGTTTTAATTGGTTAAAATTTTATGGAAATGCTGTGGAAAAAATTTTTTTAGTGTTTCCTTTATTTAAAGATACACTCATCAAGCACCTAACGCTTAAATATTGTATCCTGTTTGTTTATAGTCTGTTGACACACACAATAACAAGTAGAAACTCTGAAAAATCTTTGTTTTACAAATGGTCTGATTATTTTCCCAAAATGTGGAAACAATTTCTTTTAAACTCAAGTTAAAAGTGTTTGTCTTCCACTAGCACGGAGCTCAGCCTTTGCTCCTACTAAGAGTGCATTTGACATTAGTACCGTGACGATTGACAGTATTAATTCTGAAAACCTCTCAAATGCTAACTACGTTAATGATTCCCCATTAACATTAATGGTCCCAGTCTGATATAATCCATAATATTTTCCAGTATGCATATTACCAAGATTAATTTAATGTGTATATCAGCTCTACAGTGGCAAACGCTATTAGCTTAGCAAGGATGCTGTCTCCCAGCGGTACCTAAAGAGCTAGTCGTGTCTTTGCAGCTCATTCTCAAGGGAATCAGCCGTAATTAAAATGCTGTGTTTTGTAGTGACAAACTCTTAAGCCTTTTTTATTCATTATTTTTATGGATCCACTCAACAAGATTCCTCTTTCATGCTCGAGCATCCGTGAAACACAGTTGGCCCAAAAGACTGTAGTAATAAAAAAATAAGACTGCAAAGACAGTGTTGATGCTTTAGCTGCCAATATAACGTCTTTCTCTGGATAACTACACCTGCTGCTTTTAAATCACCATCATTTTAGTCGTTAGGAATGCTGCATATTTATCACTTCTCTCTTTGTAAATGCCTGCCTGCTGTTGTCTGCTATCAAAAGCAGAATATTTTCTCGTATACAAGCTCTAGTGACAGAGGTGATCAGCTGAACGCATGTGCCCAGGTTTGTCAAAGAGACCTAAGCTAGAATGTGCCAGGGTGTTGAATGGCCAAGGACACAAGGACACCAGGAGGAGGATAATCACATGCTCCTTTGGACTTGCCCGTAATTATACGTGGCATGTTGACAACACACAATTACTCAGTTAACCTGGTGGAATATTAGGCCATTAGCTATTGTGAAAAAGAGCAGTGTTCTTTGCCAAGATGTTGTCATGTTCATAATTTTGAGTAAGTAGCAGCATTTAACATGCCTTAACTCTATAAACACAGCATTTGGGCTATATGAATCGACTTTTGTTGGTTAATTCCTTGATGTTTCAATATTAAATGCTTTTTTTGCCTTTGTTTTATGGCTTGGGTTTGGAAAAGTCTCTGAAATTTTATTTCAGCCATTGTCCAACATTTATCTAACCCCAGATGACTTTTTTTTCAACAAGTGTGCCAGAGTGATAGAATGACTGAGACTGAAGTTTGTTTGTGTCACGTGACTTCATTTTACCATTGAAACCCAACTATTTAACTCTTGTCTGGCCATTTTGTGAAGATTGGGGTAAGAAAATAGTATTTATTCTCTTAATCAGTATTAATTAAGGACATGAGCAAAGTTCATGTAGAAATTAGATCCTCTATGAGATTTATTGTCTCTGTGATGTTTAATGGAAGCTCTATTTTTGCTTAGTTTAATAGAAAGAGGGTCAAAACTTGCATTAGTTTAAGCCCGTCCTGTCAGCACTTGCTTTAACTGGGCGGCCTTATATAGATGTGAACGTTCTCATTTACACTCTTCAGCAGATGTTAGCTCCTTTTTGCCAGACTCGCAGTTCCACTGCTCTCTGGACTATTGGGGAATGCTTAAGATTTCAGAACTTCTTAAAATAACTGGCAAGCAGACATGGCCACTTATTAGAGAATCACTGCGATATTGGAGTCATTAGAGTCTGAATCATCATTCAGAGTCGACTAAACTTTAGAGAAGGACCATATCAGTGAAAGAACCTTGAAAAGGAAACGGCCCTCTCTCCATCCCTCCCATTGCCTTCTGCTAAATGATAATCAGCAAGCACATAGACTCGTAGCTAGGGACTGGGGAAATGAACGAGTCTGTGAATACAGATGGTGATCCATCTGATGAGGAATTCACACCTCCCGTAATTATACCAAAGGAAGTGTCTGGAGCAAGGCTGGAGCTACATAAGATTCTGACTGCTTATTGTTCCCAGAAACCTAATTGCCTCTCAGATCTGTCTTAAATGAGTTTAAGTAGAGGCTGTAAGTTAGTAAGCTTGATTTCTTCAGCTCCGTCTTTGTAGTTTCAATAGAAATTCTTCAAGTTGAGGATTTTTGCTATCGTTGCTTCCTGCTTTATGCTGAAAGTTAAGAGTGTGATTCAATCAGCACTCCATTGTGAGCTGACTGTGCTGCACAGCCAACCTCAGAGGCCCGCAGAGGTCCTTCGTGCCTTAGCTTTCCTCGAGCACACTTATAAACAAGGCCTTTTGTTCTACCAGCCACTTGTAAGTTGGCCCTGTTCATAGAATTACCATTAATATTTATTCAAGCGAGGTGTTCGCATGTCTGAGCTAGAAAAATCCACAGTAGAGAGGGGCACAGAAATAGGATCGAAAATTGGTTATGGGAACGGCTGCAGGACCTGCGTTTGTGTGTACATGATGTGTACACCTGTTCAGCACAAGACCAGTGTAATGGGGTTTAGGTGCAATCAGTTACTTGTATAAACACTATGGAGTGGAAGGAAGAGCCCGTGGAAATTGATTTTAATGTCGAATGCTTGCCAGCAGCACAAAGCCTGTTACCCTCATACAGAAGCTGTTACAATAGTGCTCTAAACTATTCACAGGTTTATTCATAGCAGGGAACAGAGGGAACAGTGAATGCTACCTAATGCTGTAATCTTGACTGCCATGATTTTACCTAGAAATCCTTTAATGCCATCTAATAAGAGACATTTCAAATATCTGGTGCAGATACAGACAAACATAATGATTAAGACATGTTATTTTGATGCTTGATAACATTTTATTTAGACATAAGTATTTGGTATTAATGCAGATTTAGAAGGGTTTTGTTTTTAGCATACCACCTTAACAACAGAATGTCTTTACTTTGAAGTAAACTGCACAGAAAGCAAAGTAACAGTTTACCTTTTCTATATACGGGGCCCAATGCTTACAGAAACCAGGTCCCAGCAGTATTAATGCATTAGTTTAAATGAATCAACACCTTCAAGTCATTCTGTCAAAATCCCCGAATCACAGGTTGAGGATGAGGAGTGGCTGCAATCTTTTACTCTAGCTTATCAGTCAGCCAAAGACCTGGACAGTTTTTAAAGCCTGACTGTTAAGGCCTTTACAGAAAATTGAAAATATTTTTTTCGGACTCCCCTGCTCTTAATGCAGCCATTTACACCAACTTCGTAATTTTACTGGACAGTAGAATTAACAGATATAACCAATCAGATTACTGCATTTGGCAACAAGTGTGCTTGTAATTCAAAAAATGTGCGCCAGTATTGTATACAGAATGAGATGGAAGTAGTAAAATAATCCTATTTTACTTCAGACACAGCTATATGCTGCTCCAGGTCAGTCAGCTCGGATGCAGTCCCTTCAAGGTAAACCGCTAAAGTTGAATCACATCATTATACAGCAGTGTTTTGTTCTACAGCTCAGTACAAAGGTCAGCTTATTAGGGGGGCTAATAATATTTTTTTTCGGAAAAAATTCTGCTATTGTGTGTATGCCTTCTGAAAAATGTGTGTTTCAAAAAGCTATGTTAAAAAAAACCACTTAATATTTCATATGGGGATTCATAATTTTGTCCTCATCTTTAGATGGGAAAAGCAAGCACAGGCTTGTAAATAATAGCACTTAATTTTTATTAGGGTTAACTTTAACTTTGTATTTACCTGAATAAACCAAAGTCCTGCTTTGTAGTACACATCTCTGGAAGCAACTGCTAAGAATTAGCATTTTATAAAAGATATTAAAATTCAGTTTAAATCAAATTGAACTGGATGCTTGAAATCTTATGTTGCATACAACTTTAACTTTAACTGTAAGAGTTCAACAAAACGAGGCATCCCTTGGGGTCCCGATTGCTCTTTCTGCCAACTGTCCAGATAAAGATAAAAGAAGACCACTCAGAATGTTTCACATTGATTATCAGACTTTATGTTTTCTCAATGAATAAAAACCGATACTTACGAATTGGTGTACTAAGCAATGCTACTAATTCCATGTCAAAAATGGCCTGTAATGAGGTGCAGGTGATGGGATTTCTGCTCTGTGCTCTAGTGACTGTAGTTCTGGCAGCATTGGGACGAAGGATGAAAACATCTGGGTGTTTTCTGCATTACGAACTAAATACAAACTAAATGTGAATTCTAGTGACTGTGCAGTGCACAATTTGCACTGTTATAGCTTTGCAGCTGGGCACAATGCATGGGATTTGCTCCAGTAAGTGGAAGAATTGATGGGTGGATGACACTTTTTGGGGCTGTGGCTCGGAGCCTGGCCTGGTTCGGCTGTGCATTAAGCATGGGTTGCCATAGTGATATAGCAGGGTGAAGGGACTGAAGGCTTTGTGACACTGAGGATTTTGACTTTCCGCTCGCCATGCTTGACTCATTGTTTTTAATTTGTTTTAACTGTGCTTATTTTTCTGTTTTGTAATCAATAATAATAACAATTATTATTATTATTATTATTATTATTATTATTATTATTATTATTGCTGTTGTTGTTGCTTGAATGCCTTAAAGGAACTTTGAGATTGACTTTAAATCCCTAGAATATTATGATCATCATTGCAAGACATCGGATGAGACTGACTCTTAACTTTTACAACAATCACACTTTTCTCATTACACGAGAAGCTGGGTTATCTTCTGTTTATTTTTAGCCATTCTTCGGTTCATTTGTTGTGCAACACTGTGTGAATGTAGGATGATGTTATAGTCCCCCTCATGTACAAACCTACTTAAACATTCAGAG